TATCCCAATTACCCTGTGGCATCAACGACTGGCCCATCTCAATTTTCGAGCTGTTTCCTCCATCACCGGTCTCCCCATCAGCGATATTCCACCCTGCCATACATGCATCGAAGCAAAGCATCAGCGCACCTTCGTCCGACTTCCTGTCGCCAGAACTGCAAGACCCTTTGAGCTCATTCACTCCGATCTCTGTGGCCCGATTGGGACCCCGTCCTGGTCCGGATCCCGTTATCTCATCCTCTACATCGATGATTATACGCGCTGGGCATATGGTTATTTTCTGCGGTTGAAGGAATCCATTGAGATTACGAGAATCTTTCAAGAATTTCAGGCGCGGGTCGAAACAGCTTTTCCGAACTGGCCGATTTCGCGATTCAGATGCGATAACGGCAAGGGGGAATATGACAACTCCCTCTTCCGTGGTATCCTGCGTGTTGGTGGAATCCTTTTCGAACCTGCACCGCCTTACTGTCAGCACAAGAACGGCGTAGCGGAAAGAATGATTCGAACAATAATTGGGAAGGGGAGAGCAATTCTCCTGGACTCGAACTTACCTGATGCAATGTGGGCCGAAGCAGTTGAGACGGCACTCTATCTTCACAGCCGTTCTCCATCGACTTCACTTGGGGGTCGGTCACCGTACGAAATGCTGCACGGCATCAAACCAGACCTCGGCCACCTTCGTCGCTTCAGTTGCTCAGCTAGTAGACTTATTCCGAAGGAGCAACGGAATGGTAAATTCGGTCCACGTTCTCGCGAATGCATCATGATCGGTTATGTGCATGATACCGCAAAGATTTGGCGGCTATGGGACCCCGAATTCCGTGCAATTGTTCGTTCATCCGATGTTGTCTTTGATGAATCTCGTACCCCTGGTGATGTGAAGCACGGTCCAGGTCGTGACGTGCTCAAAGAATTTGTTCCTCTTGTGGATGGGGTAGAGGATGATGATGAGATTGGAAGCGTGGCTGCCGTTGACGCTAAGGCAGAAGAACTTAAGCTGGGAGCTGCCAAGACCCCGATGACCAGGGGTGAGGGCAGTAACGTACCTGTCAACCCGGTCCCACCACCAAATAAAATTCTCGTCCCTGAGACTGGGGAGAATGGGGATCAGAGGGTCGTTAGAAAAGAAAGCAGCCGAGCTGCTATGATTGTCGAGGGGGAGAAGAAAGTCAGAGTGGAGCACGACAATCTCCGAATCGGCCAAACAACACTCGATCTCGAGAGCTCCTCTAGTGGCCCGACGTTACCGGTGCCGAAAAGAATTAAAGTTGGTCCGACGGTACAGGAACCAGAGAAAGCTGGCCCAATGTCACTGGGAACTGAAAGGCTTCTGAAGCGCGCGCAAGAATCAAATCAAATGCTTCGTCGATCTCTTCGACACCGTCAGCCTGTCCAAGCAATTGCTGCTGAAGCCAAGAATGTTAGCGAACTCCGTCCGGGTGACGACCCGGAGAGTTACGCAGATGCTGTCTCCCATACAGCGTGGCGGAGTGCCATGAAACAAGAGTTCAACTCTCTTATTGAAAATGACACCTGGGAGGTTGTCAGTTACGATGATATTCGTGAGGCAAAGATCATTGGATGCAAATGGGTGTTCAGAGTTAAGCATAACTCTGACCGTTCTATCCGCTATAAAGCCCGTCTCGTTATTAAAGGATATGAGCAAACAGAATTTGGTGAGACTTACGCTCCAGTTGCCTGGCTGACAACATTCAGAATCCTAATCGCCCTCGCTGCCCAACTCGGCTGGAAAATCCATCAAATGGATGTCATCACCGCCTTTCTGAATCCCGTAGTCAACGATCTGGTCTTTATGGCGTTGCCCGAAGGCATAGAGTGGTTGCACCCCGGGGCATCTCCTGGCGGAGTGTGCCGGTTAAAGAAGGCCCTATATGGGCTTAAAGAAGCTCCCCGCCTTTGGTTTAGCGATATCAATCGCTTCCTTCAGTCGCAAGGTTTTATCCCATCCTCAGGTGATGCTAATCTCTACATCTCTTCCTCGCACAAAGTCATACTGCTGCTATACGTAGACGATATCCTTTTAGCGTCAAGTAACCCTTCGGCCATTGCAACGGTGAAGCAACTTCTTGTAAGCCGATACAAGATGACAGATCTTGGATTGTCACGCCAATTCCTAGGCATCGATATCGAACAGCTCCCGGAAAAGATTCGTATCGGTCAACGACACTTCGTAGAATCAGTCCTGCTGTAACGTGTTCGCAAGGTGCTAATCACGTTATCGGTAAGGGATACGATAGCTTGCAGGTGGCCTGCTCTTCCAGAGAGGAGGCGAGAGCTGAGAACTAAAGGAGGCTTCGAGGGTGTACTGGGAAACAAAGAAGTAACCATTCAACCAAGTATATTGGAATACTATCTGTCGAAGTCTGCCTTTTCTATCATAGAAACAGGCGGTCTTTAAATACACAAATCTGTTCATGTCTAGCATGAACGAAACTAATCAAAGGTATCAATTGATACTCTTTGGTAAAACTCCTTAAGTATCAAAGCGATACTTAGAACAAAACATAAAACAAAACCAAGTATCAAACGATACTTAAAACAAACCAAGTATCAAAGCGATACTTAAAACAAAACATAAAACAAAACCAAGTATCAAACGATACTTAAAACAAACCAATAACCGAGTACCCGTACCGGTTACACCTACGACGGTTCGGCATGAGCGATTGTAACGGCATTTGGACGCCGCTCGAAGTTCGACCTTCTCTGGAATTCAAACCACTTGTGCCTGAGGATCAGCAACTCTATCAATCCTTGGTTGGGAGTATTATGTACCTAATGTTAGGAACACGACCTGATCTAGCGTTCACGATATCGGTCCTCTCAAAATTCTCCGCTTCCGCCGGGTCGGAACACCTTGCGCAGGCCAAGCGTGTTCTAAGATATTTGAAGCAGACAAGAGATATAAAGCTCTGCTATAGGAGAAGCGAGACCCCGCTTGACAGGTCTCTCAAGGGATTCTCGGACTCGGATTGGGCAGGGGATTTAGGTGATCGGAAGTCGACAGGTGGATTTGTTTTTCTACTCTCAGAGTGTGTCGTAGCCTGGAAAGCTAAGAAGCAAACAATTGTCGCCCTTTCAACTACCGAGGCAGAGTACATAGCTGCGTCAGAAGCTGGAAGAGAAGCTGTTTGGCTTCGTCGTCTAATCGGAGATCTCATGGATACAATCTCCCCCACCAACTCAGAATCGTTCTCCTCTCCGACTATCATCTACACCGACAGCACTGGCGGACTTGCGCAAATCTCGAAAGTGCGGCATCACGAGCGAACGAAACACATAGACATAAAATACCACTACGTCCGCGATATCGTCGAGCAGGGAACAGTCTTGTTTTGCCACATCTCAACACACGATATGTCCGCGGACATACTTACGAAGCCTCTCGCAAGAGACCTCCACTGGCGTCATATGGAAAGGATCGGGATGGAGACTGTAGTCTAGGAAGTACCTTTTTGGGGTTAGATATCAGGCCTGTTTGTTTGAAATGTTTTTCCTTTTGTTATTAACTGTTCTAAGGAAGAGCTGAGAGTATACCTTTCCCCCTTGAGACACTTATGGATAGAGGGTTTTACCGGTGCTCGATGATGTTCAAAGACTTTCCTTTATTGTTTATTTTTATTTCTGTTTTCCTTCTCACGGTATGGCAGAAGAGGGGGAGTGTTGAAATATGCTTCTGGCACTACCGTAGTATCACTCGCACTATTGATTTTCTCCTTGCATTAGTCTTGATCGCCATCTCAAAACCCCCTTACAATATTGGTACTATTGAACATACCTCCTTGCCTTTCTTTTCTTCTCTCTGTTTCTGTTTACTTCCTACTGTTGATTTACTCGCAACTTGTGTCTCGCCCTCAACAGTAGATAGTCTGGGTAGTTTGCTCTCTACTGAGAAGTCAATTAAGCAATTCATTATTCTTCTCGTCACTCAACCAGTTCCAAAAACCATCATTCCGTTCTCACTGTTTCAACACCATCCCTTTCCCCTACAACGGAAAATACATTAAATAAAATACCCGGAACATTTACCGCCCCCTCCCCCCCTCCCACCAGCCAATGGACCAACCACCGCACTTCCGGAAAGGAATTTTTTTTTTTAAGTACCGTACGTAGTCCATCAAGGCATAAGCCGCGCGCATCACATACTGAGCGCAGCCCCCCGATCCCAACCCCCCATCTACCGCTATTCACAGCACGTTATCCCATACCACCCCATCACACCCCGCATTCATCCCATCCCATCCATCCCTCAACCCATCAACTCATCAACTCCTTCACCCATTCATTCATTCATTCATTCATCCCCGTTCCCGGGCCGGGGAAAACTACTTGCCTACTCTTACATTCACACACACTTACACATACATCAGTGCAACGTGGTGGCAATTCACGCCAGGTGGACGGAGGAGGGAGGGGGGCATGATATCTTTTGTGCGATTTTGTCCATATATCGGTACCTAAGGATAGACGTAGGGCAGATATCACAAGTATAAAAGATGAATCGAGAGGGAATGAAGGGGAACGCATGGGATCAAGCGATCCGTGGAGATTATCGTTTCCTTCGCACAACCTATCGGGTTGGTCTGGTCTGGTCTGGTTTGGTTTGCGGAACGGGTGGTAGTCCCCCATGTGCTGTGATTGGGGGCTCCTCAAGTTTGGCCTACCAGTCCTATAACTTGCCATACTCGCCCGCACAGAACACCACGATGACCCTGAATGAGATCCGAATATCGATCCTCCGGCACTCCACCCGCGGCTCAGAGACATATATATAAACTATCTAAAGAGCCCGAAGGAAGTGAAGAAGTGAAAACATATCATATGACAACTAGTCGAATATCATACAAATAACGATGATGCAGCTGCGCCCAAATAGTCCCCCAAGAATAATATCCTAGAATTATGCATTAAAGTGGCGTTCAATAGATTTATGCACCCTACTTGTTTGTTAACATGACCCCTTTTATGTATTCCTCTCAAGATATGATAACACAGCAACCCAAGTAAGGTTCACATAGAAGAAAATAAAAGAACGCAAGGTCAACAACCCCCAAACCTAACGACCGGATGAAACTAACCCTCACCGGACCCTTCTCACACTTAGTACTTGAGTACTGGTATGACACGATAGTAAAAAAAAACGCAAATATAGCCATCGTGGGTAAACTATGTTATGACACGAAGAAGAAAAAATATCTCAAATGAAGGCACCGAAATGGTAAAAAAAGTTAAAACTGCTATAAGTTGGTGAGAAATTTCAGTTTTCTTGGTTCCCTCACTCCTCACCCCGTTCCCGAAACATGCACAAGTGAATTTGTATAGAAAAAAAAGAAAAAAGGTAAGGAAAAAAGTATGATTTATCCACAAGTGTCCTAGACTGGACTAAAATATCACCCTCCAATTCCAGCCCAAGATTGGTTTGGTTCATCGCCACTAGCTACTGCTACAAGCAAGTACCTATTAACCCGGGTGCACAGTGTAGAGTTGGAAGGGGGAAGAAAAAAATATGGAGAAAAAAGTAAAAAAAGCCACAAACACCCCTTTCAGAAACGAAACTACGGCGTCATTATCGTAACAAGCAATCGAACCCACCAACCGGATAATTCCCGAAGGCCATGTGAAAAGGATAGGAACCAGGCCACGAGAATTATAAAACAAAAGAAATAGCCAAAGGGAACATTAGGATGAAATCAAAATGCAAAAATGTGAACCAAGAACTGAAGAAAAAAATAGGAATCACGGTCTAAAAAAGAAAAGAATACAGAAAATCACCCAGACAATAAAGAAAAGAATGATCGTAAATAAAAGAAACGCAAAGGAATGGTAAAAAAGGGATAAACCCGAGAATGTAGCACTACCAGTAAAGAAGAAACCCCAACCCATGACCATTTTCCTTTCCCATCGTAAAACAAATGAATACTGAACACTACTCGAACCCAGTCGGACTGATGAGAAGGGAAAATTGTATCCCTTCGAAAGAATTAAAGAAAGAAGAAAACGCAGCCCATCTTCCCTTTTAACATATAGTTCAAGAAAAGAAAAGATAAAGGAAAACAAAATACAGGTAAGTCCGGCAGATATAAAAACAAGTATACCGAAGTTAGTGAAAAGCCAAGACTAGCAGGGAACAAGGAAACACAAAAACAAAGCATGCATCCATTGTCTCTAGCAGTTGACGATCGGAAAAACCAACTTTTATGTAGTGGAGTTCGCCAGGAAAAAATATTTTTGAACCAATCACCAAACCATGCGAATTGAGTGAAAAGGAAAAGGAAAGGAAAAAGTACTTAGGCAGTGACGGGTTGGCAAAAGTTCGCCATCATGTACCCATCAGGTCTCTGGCAAACAGAACAGCCACAAGGATGTCCGCCAGGCCAAGCACGGTGAGAGTGATGATAATTTGATAATGCCGGAAGCTGATATGTGGATGACCGGTGATGTGATGCAAAAGCGCCAGACCACCCATAAGCATACCCCTCAGGAGTTGTCGGACCGGTCTCCGGGGCCGATGGAGGAGAATATTCTCCAGGGTTCAAGTACCAATAAGAGCCCTCAGGCTGAGATTGCTGAGGACGCTGTAGGTGCAGGGCAGAATCGTTCAATATGCCCAAGGGGTGGTAGGCCTGTGAGGACGGGTACAAAGGTGAGAATGACGTCGACTCGGTGCGATGGTGGTGACGAATATTAGTGTTGATGGGTGCAAGCGCCGGAATGGCCGCCTTTGTCCCGTTTTTCCTAACCCACGTTTCCCACATTGTTGTATACTGGCTGAACCCTTTAGTTCCCTCGGGATCAACATGCAAATCCCACCCTATCTCCTTCAACCAATCCTTCTCCAAAGTGTTGAGTTCGTCCACAGGGAGACCTGTGACATCAGACCAAGACTTGTTCTGGAAGGTGTTATCATCCAGAAACTTGCTTGCGAGTAGAAGAGCGATTGTAATCATTCGATACACGTGATCATGCCGCAACGCGGTAGGGGTAGGCTTGGCCATTCGTCTCTGCAGATAAACTAGACCTAGCAAAATGGTTGAACTTGGCAACCGTGTTGAGGATAAAATTTGAAGGACAAATTTACGGAATTGCTGAGGTAGCGCACGGTCCGAAACAGAACGTTGATAAACACTAGAAGTAACTTAGCACTAGATAAAATTTGATCAAAAAAGGGATTTTCAAATACTAACAGTTGTTGAGCCATAACGCCAACAAATTCCGTCATCTCCTCCATATCGTAATCTAAGTGGGCAGATACCCCACCAACAGGTTTCTCTTCAGGCTGATGCACAGATTGCTCCTGCTTTCTTGGCTCCTGTCTGTGACGAAAGGATTCCTCAAGAGGCGGCAATTCCAATCGTCGGCCAGATGACACAGGCATTGGTAGCGACAATGCCGGCACAGGAAAGTACCGACCAGCAGGGTGGGTCAAACCGGGTGGTGGTAGGCCGGAATAATTGCCCTGCTGTTGTGAAACAGGGTATGGTTGTCCAGGAGCATGTGAATACGAAGGCATCTGCTTCCGACAATAAGTTTCCATGAGATTATGGTCATAGACGGCACCTTTCTCAGACATCGCCAGTCCCTGCGAGCTCATCGCGAACTGATGAGTATTGAGCTGGATGCCTCCATTGCAGCCGCCATAGGATGGAAGATAATCGGGAGGCGTGAGCGGGAGGCGAGATTGAGGAGTAAACATGCAGGGCATGGTAAGATTCGAGGGTTTGTAGTAGAAAGAAGCCGCGCGGTCGAGAGTATGCCGTCTTTCAAGAATCAACATAATCTCGTTAGCCATCTCCCGCTCGAAATTCGCAGGGCGAATCATCCAGCTAGACAATCCCAGGACAGCCTACTGCCCTCAACTACTCACCAGTCTGTTTTTCCTCCTTCCTTGACTAAGAATGCGTAAGCTACGACGGATCGTAGGTGCAAAGAACTAAGTTTGCGGTGCAAAACTTAAACTCGATTGCCCATTCAAAAACACGGCTGTTGGATATCGGGTGACTGTGATGGTGTGCTTCGTCAAGTCGAAAAGGTCTGGAGTCGAAGGTTTATCGCAAGACGACAAACAGGAAGTAGAAAACGGCTAGACGGATACCAAAAGGCTAAACCCTTCAAAGTTGCGTTTTGTAATGTTAAAATAAAAGGCTTTCGAGATGAGAAGTTAGAACTCCAATGAAAAAAGAGAGAAAAAGAAAAGAAAAGAAAAGGCAAGTGGAAGTGCGAGCGCCGGAGTGCGAAGACGAAATGCTAAGTTAATAGGTCCGCGATTCGCTATATTCTGAAGAAAAATCTATTAAGATGGAGCAGAGACAGGATGATGTTCGTGGCGCTGATTATCAAAACCAAAGAAAAGTCGTGACTGAAAGCGAAGAAATGCCGATGGTATGCAGCAACGTGAATGTGACGACGCCCCCGAAAAAAAGACGTAAAGGAGAACCGTAAATATGTCCGAGAGGGTAGTTGATTACCGGTAGTCGAGAGAGAGAAACCTTTGATCGTGCCTCTGGGTGTTGTTGCTGTTTACTTTTCTGCCGCCCGGGATCCCTTTCGATACTCCAACCGACAGTCAAGTGGGAAGGAGAAGAGGTTGTGAGAGGTTGGGGGTTGTGGAACGGTTTTTATTATTCGAGGGAGAAAGGTTGACAGACAAGCGGATCCTAGCTGGGCAATGATTCGACGCCGCAAGGTGCAAGATTTTCCCCCTACCGCTCTGCTACCCACAACAGCCCAAAGCAAGCAGACTTATTCAATGAAGAATACCGTCCGATAATTAATTTTTTAATTTTTTTTTTGTTTACTTTTTTAAGAGAGAAAGGCTTAGAAGGGGTAAAAAAATTGAAAAGGGGAAATCACTCTATTTTTCGATTTTCGATTTGGAGAGGGAGAGAAGAAAGGTTGAGCGGGAGGGAGGGAGGCGGGAGGGAGGGAGAGGAAAGGACTCAGAATGAGAAAAGAGGAAGAAGAATTGGAACAGGGGCCGGCACGGACAAGAGAGTGGCAGCGAGGGAGAAAGAGAGAAAGAGAAAAGAGAGAGAAGAGAAAAGAGAGAAGAGAAGGAGTAAGAGAGAAGGGAAGGAGGCAGGGAGGGAGAAGGGGAAAGCGAGAATCGTTGCGTTACGGTGCAACTAGCAAGGGCCAGTTGTGGGCGTGAGGCAACGAGAGTGAGTAGGAGGAATAATTTAATGGACGGACGATGGAGACGGAGCAGCAGCGCCGCCGACCGGAGATGTCAAGATTTTTATTTTTATTCTTTCCCTGTTCCAACAAAGGAAGAAAAAGAAATTGATGACTTTACTTTCTGACCGTTTGACCGTGGCGGATCGCACGCGAACGTCCGGCCTACTCAAAAAGAGGCTGTCTTTCTCAACAGTAATTTAGTCAAATCTGGTCTCATCGTTCGACTCGGTATGCCTATGACCATACTACCATCTAATAATTTCTATGATGCTCCTCCTTCCTTTCCATTTCTCCATCATATCCATCATACGGGACTAGTGAAGTGAGTGAGAAAAATCCGCCCGGCGCGGAAGGTGTATCGTGCCGGCAGCACGAATAGACTATCATGTTATGGCTCTCTGGTTATGGGGGCGGCCTCTCTCACCCTTCACACAGTGTAATCCATCATGCCCACGGTACTCCTCTTCCCCCAATTTACAAGCAGTTGGCCACCACCCCTTCCACCACACCGGAACAAAACCATCTGCCCCACTGACACCGACCGCTGCCTCTGCTTGCTAACTTACCGGTATGGTACTGCCATCCCCAGTCAAAAAGTCACCCAGTCACTCTTTTTTTCCCCCTCCTCTTTCTCCACCCTACCCAGTTTATTGGTCCTTCCTTCCCACCACACGCTCATCCACTCATTCGCCCATCCCTCCATACAACACCACTCCCCTCCTCTCCGCTTCTAACCTCATGCTGGTGCTTCATGCTGTGGGTGCTTCACTGCTTTTCGCGCTTCCTAGCCCAAGGTCGCTCTGATGGGCACCACCAGGATGAGGGGGTGTCACCCCCACCAGACATCCACCCAAATTTATTCTTCACCCTCCCCAACCCCTCGCCTCCCAGCTAGTCATCCAAACCAACCCTTTCCTCTTACGGAACAATCTATCCTTCGATGATGTCTTGGCTCACCTAATCTGCTGCTTCTGCCCCCTTTTCGTCAATTGTTTCTACCCATCCACTCACACCTGCCACTCACGCCTTTTGTTCCTCTGCATGACAAGGATTTTCCCGCCCGACTTGGTGAGAGAAAGAAAAGAGAGAAAAGCGAACGGAAAGGAAGTGAGAGAAAAAAAGGGAAAAAAAACCGAGCGAGTGTGAAAAAAGTATGGCTCAATCTGAGCTCATGACCCATTCAGCCAGTCAAATCTCTGTTCATCTCTTCCTCTCCCCTCCCCCTTCCGAATGACTGAAGACTTCCTCGCCACCCGCTTCCGGCGGACACTGCGGGGCAGTGGATGAACCTGTACGATTATCGAGAAATTTTTACCTGTCCTTCTGATTGCCCATTCCCAAAGTATCCGGAAATCTTGGCAAAGATGTTGTGGTAAGGGAGGAAGCTTTTTAACCTACTGGTGCGCAATTCCTCCATAAGGAATGGCCAGCCTCAAACTTCTAAGGTCACTCAACTGTAGCTATTTATTGTCATAGCTCCCTTTCCCCCATACCCCGACCCGTCACAGGGTAGACTGGAGATCAAGCGTAAAAAAGGTCTTTCAAAAATATCAACTTTTACGTGAGCTATGGGTTCAGGGTGGGGTATGCAAAACCCAAAGTGGCGATACGTGGCTGTGGTTGAAGTTTTCACCTACCACCAAAAACTGAGCCAAGATTTCCGGATGCTTTTGGAATGGCCAGGTACTCGTAGAGGTCCTATGCACGAGCGGTACCGGTACGAGTAAATTTACTCGTACAGCTGACAGTACTCGTACAGTGCTCGCACTGCTTTGTCAAGAACACTCGAGTATGATACATACCTCTGAGAGCATACGGCTCGGCGCTATTCAGGGAAAGGTTTTTTCTGACCACCGTACTAGTAAAGCACGCAGTGCGGTACAGTACTTGTAAAAACCAGTGGCCATATTCTGCAGGAGGCTGCCTGCTGCCTAGGTCGGGGTTGTTAGTGTCCTGCAATTCGGGCTGAACTTCAAAAGCGCCGACCCATCGGCAAAGCGGAGCTACTCTTGGCAAAAGAGCGCAAGTAAGTTACTCAGGTATATACTGTATCCTAGTACTATGATACTACGAGTACTGCAGACTAGTGCCAATTTTATCGGATTCAAGCTCAAACGGCTGTTCGGCAATTGTACTGGTCAACTTGCTCCTTCACCTCCAGCCCTCCTTTTTTACCGCGTTCCTCCTTGTTTATTTACTCCATGCTTGCACTTCCTTCTTTGGTAAACCTCTAACCAGATCTAAAAGTTTCTGCCTAGCACTAACTTTTTCACCTCCCTCCACAATTTCTCACTTCTTGCTTCAACAATTATGGCAGCGCTTCCTTCACCCTAGTCTAACACCATGTCCTTCAGCTTGATGACCTTTCTTTTTTCTTTTTTCTTTTGTATCTGCTTTTTCCTCCGTCTTTCCCCTGCCAGTGCTGATCAACGAGGGACAACATGGTTGCCGAGAAACTTGTACCATCGGTATCCAGATCGTGGAGACCATGGTTATTCATCATCAGCGAAAGTCCCGAACATGGGAAAATCAAAAATTAACTCTCATTTTAATAATATTTACACGGCCTCCTCCAATACACACTCGCCTTATCTCTCCTTCGGTCTTTGTGACTTAACATTTAATGAACAAAGCACGGTAAACATCAATATGGTCACCCACTCGGACTGGATGACGCTTTGAAGGAGAAATGATGACGCCCCCGGAGAAGAGAAGAAAGGTGAAGTGAAAGAGAATAGTGGTTCGTGCAAGGAGACTTAGGTGGTGAGAAAACTGGTTATTTCGGAAAGGCTTGGATGCCTTGGTGGGTAGCAAGACCTGGAAGAAGTGTACTGTAAAATGTCGGTTTTTAGGCCTGGAGAATTGTGAGAGATTACAAGGCACATGCCAGATGTTTTCGTACACCTAATGCCAAGTATTTAGTGGAGTACAGTCGTGTCCGGAAAGTAATGATACCCCTCCATGGCAACCAAGTCCTCCAAGGCCACAGTAATTATCCACTCCTGGTGAGCAAAATATATAGTAAATAAAATCAAAAAAATTACTTTGGAAAAGTATACCCACTAAAGTAAAACAATATTTATAAAAAAATAGCACATTTTGTCATACAAGTATGTTCTTAATAATAAGATATATACTGATACTATTGGACTCAAATCTTCTCAAAAAGCATATATTTTACCATTCCAATCCACCTCTCCACACTGTAACTAGAACATATTTTCTTTTATTTTAGTAACTTAAAATCCTAGAGATTATTTTGAATCTAATACTTTGAGATAAACATAGCAAAGTAGTAAACATATAATATAAGTATCAATAGAAATAGCAATGATCCAAGTATGTAATTATTATTTCTAAAACACTATACCCAATCTCAAAACTACTATTGGGAGAAAGTATATCTTATAAATAATATGTAAAATAAAATTGGCCTTAATTAGAGGTTGTTTTATACCAAAAGGTCATGGTTGAAATCATGTTATCTGATAACAGTATAAATTACTTAAAAAGCTATTTTTGAAGTTTAACTATTAACTTAAATATTTAATCCAAAAACTGTCTATAATATAGAATTGAATAAGAGAAAGGGAGTTATTATTCTGATATTATAAATAAATATTAATTTTTTTTTGAAAGTAATATGTTATCTTGTATTAAAGGCAATAAAATTTACATAAATTTAACTAATTTCTTACACTGAGAACTGAAAGAATCTTCTGTTAAGATAAAATTTATATTTTATGCTCTTATATATCTTCTATATATTATAATAAGCTTTCATGTTAAATAATTAACTATTAATAGTCAGAAATCAGAAATAAATCAAGCCTGTTTTTAAACAAAATTATCAACTTTATGAAATCATAGTTTGATATTTCATTTGCAATTTAATTTTGACCTATATTAAAAATCCTGATTCCTGATTACCTAAACATAGTGTAGACATATTACTATATTATCACTGTGATAAATTGTAAAGAAAAAAAATAACAAATCAAGTATAATTTCTTTAGTCCATTTTTACAGGTTATTTAAACTTTGTACTTCATTGAACCATTTTACTGATAGAAACTTCCAATATTTCATAAAAACAAACCTTATCATCTATATTTTACAATATCTTTTAATTGAATTTATTTCCGAACTATTTTTGTGGCATTAGGTTTAAAGTGGTATACATGGTTGAATTTCACAGGTGTATCATTACCTTCCAGATATGGCTGTACAGTGCACAAATGAAAAAACACCGAACAGAAACACAACACCTCTATTTTCCACAGAATAGGTATCATGACCAGAGTGTGTTAACAAAAAAAGAAGTATAACCAATAGAAATATAGAATAATAAGCTTCTATTTGGAAATATTGTGACTAAAATACATCAAAAAATAGGGAAAAAATATTTTAATTGAAACAGAACACCATCTTACTATAAGCGAGGATAGGAGCTCCTGTAAAAGTATTAAGATAAAAAGGCTTCAGAAAGGAAAGAGGAAAGAAGTATATGCTAATGAGAAAAGAGGGATTTTTTTCATAATATCTGTATCCTTGGCTCCAACTCCTCCGCAATCTCATCAAGTACTTTGGTTGACCTCTGGGTCTCGGTGTACTGAGACCCCAATTCCTCCAGTTGAGCATGTTTCTATTACTTCTTCATTAAGATCTAAGATCTGTGGACTCAGCACTTATGCCTTATCGTCCTTTCACCATGTTGCTCAAGAAGTAGGAATTGCTGTTAGCATAGTCTTCTCAATCTGCCAGGCACCATCCATATCAAAAAGGGTCAA